TATATATATATATATATATATATATATATATATATATATACTGCTTTGTAGGACATAATGCATAAAAAAGTAAAATATTAACATTTTTAAATTAAAATTATAATTTAAGCGATTTTTGAACTACAGTAGAACCAACACAAAACCTACTACTGGAGAAAGCCTGCATTTGTATAACTGGACTTTTGAGTCACAACCTTATAGTTATATATTTATTTCCCTGTGTGACAACTAGCCCCAGTTTTTGTACTGTAGGTCTGAATGTCAGACAGAGTCATTGTGTCAGCATTCCTTAACACTGTAGCTTTTTTTTCCTGCTTAATCATATTGCAATTAGTGCTTTTTTGTGCCACAGCTTGATATCATCAGAATTTAGGCCTCAAAAGCCTCTGTCATTTTGAAACTCCATTATGCTGAGACTTTCAAAACTGCTAGGCTGTAGTTCTAAATGCACAAGTACTTGTTTCAATCTCTTAAGAGTTTCTGTACAGAACTGGATGAATTCCCATATTACATGTGTTTGTCATTGGACACAGGACTGGCACAAGGTGGGCAGGAGGGTTTTGACAAAGACATTGGCACCCAGACAGAGCCTCAGGTGCTGTTACTGCTGCATCTTAGACAGTCTGATCACCTCTGCGCCTGTCAGACTTTGTTCCGTGTTTTGTGTGTGTCTTGCTCCCCATGTGCCTCTGTGTGTATAAATAGTGTTCCCTGTGTGTGCTCCAGCGTCCGGTATTGTTCATGTCATGTCTATGTCTAGACGTATTGCGTGAGTTTCCGTGGTTCCTTTGTGTAAATTAAACCCAGTTGGATTGATGTACTCCTCATCTCTCTCCGTTCCTTGCTCCTGACTCCGCTCGGCAGTGCACCCGTGACAGAATACCAGACCGATACCGAAAGTAAGCAGCGCCCCTTCTCCTCGTTTTTCGTTTTCCCGTTTTTTGAAAGTTTTTTGTTTCCTGGTTACCCCCCGCGGCGATGGAAATTGCCGCTCGTGTCGCGCCGCCCTAGCTCGCCTCGATCTCCCCTTCTACGAGTACGCCAGGAAGTTCTGCAAGCTCGCTGAGGTGACAGCGTTAGAGGACGCCGTCCTCAATCAGCTGTTCTGGCTCGGGGCCAACTACCATCGCCC